CCTGAACCAGGTAGTGCCTGTGCTGGTACTTGCCTTTACATTTATAGAGGTTTCCTATAAGTTGTCATAAGGAACCAGTGAAAGAATTCCAAGAGGTCACAACAGTCGAAGATAACACCACTGTTTGTTTTTCCATGCATGCTATGTATATACAGCTCTGAACATAGCCTTTCCCATTCCCTGCCTATCACCTGTGACATCAGGCACCGTTCAGGAAACAATGCCTTTTAACTTGAAGTCTTGACGTTAAACAAAACTCGAGGTCATTATCATGCTTCAGGAATGAAACTGGCTATAATACACAATCGCTCCCCAAACAGATTAAGTCATTATGAGGAACGGGAAGATCCAGTGTTTGCTGACTGCTTGCCCATCTGAAGTTGCATAACCTCTCCCACAAGATGCAACTCTCAACTTTTCTCTCTCTTGTGTATTATCTCTCCCTCTCCTCATTTACTTCTCAGTTTGTTGCAGCAAACAAGATTTCTGCCACTAGCTAGTCAGCCTGTTCAGCAGAATCTCATTTTACAATTTTGGCCAAATCAGGGCAAAGAAGGTCTTGCTCAGTGCACTGAAGTTTTTCCACACACCTGGTATATCCCAAGTTTGCAGGGGCAAACTTGATGTGTATATCAACCAATGTATAGTCTAGGTAAATATTCGGATCCACTTCCAAGTCAAATTCTAGATTGCAGCCTCCAGGAATAGGATCTAGAACACAAAAAAGATAACTGTAGTAGGTTTTACTTCCCCCTTACACAGCATGAAAAAAAAAGTTCTAAGACCTCAGGAATGCATGTACTTGCAGGCATAGTCTGCTTGCTGAACACAAAATTGTCAGGTTTAGTCCTGCAGACAACACAAGTCGTTTCACTGCAGTCTAGGATAGGTCCCGATACATATGCATCACAGTTTTCTACTCCAAGGCTGAAGTCGTGACAAGACCATACAGTACATCCTATACATAACTCACAATTCAGCAGTGATACTCAACTTTTTCAGCCCATTTCAAAAGAATTTCCAATACTTAACTTTTTCAGCCCATTTCAAAAGAATTTCTGGCACCTCCATCATATGTTTGCACATGTAAGAATATCACCTCTGAAAGGTCAACACTTAATTTTATAGTTAACTTGTAATAAGCAAAGCTGGTATGCCTTAACAAGTAATAAGAACATACCTTTCTCCATATAGGGAATAGAGAGAGCTGTGCTGAGCACCTGCCTAGCATCAAGTGACCGAAGGTACCATGTGCATACACTCTGTTGAGGCCGAAGGATGGAAACCAGTCCTTTGTCTACTCCAGTTCCTGAGCTGTTCACAGATGGATTCTGGACAGAAAGAAGTTACATGAACAAGTAGTTCTTCCTGAAAAGACTTCTACCACAACTTGATGTATAGCACAGGAGTCACATTCCTGTCACAAACCCGTAGGTCACACATTTCAGTGCCAGTTGCCACAGATGAGGCATTCAGCCCTTAGCTGGCTAGTAAAGAAGGAAGATGGTAAAAAGGAGCTGGAAAAAAAAGGAGTGGCCTCTGACTCCACACACTGCCTAGCTCAGTCTCAAAAACTCAAGTGGTAAGTTCGAGGCTACTAAAGAGTTAGTAATCATAAGCAGGTTGCAGAGAAATCTAGCTAGTTGAAGTTTCCTGCTGCACAGCAATGGATTGACTAGCAAAGGTGTAAAAGGATTGGAATATCCCTCCCAGAAAGTTGTGAGATGGCACTAAAGAGCTTTCTGGGAACCAAAGTGCAGAAGCACCTCATTATCTCCACCAGAATGGAGATGACTATATGACAGATGGCTTAACACTAGCCATGCCAGACAAGTGCTTGGGGACAGGTCAGCTACTGGTCCAACCCCCACCGTCCCTTTCAGAACCAGGGGTCTTGAGGAAAGATCAGGCAACAATGGCAGTATCACACTCACAAGGTGGGAAGAGCCAATTGACCTGCAGTCAAATCTATTTTTCAGCATGGAAAATGTGCTTTTGTCCAAGGCGGCCACAGTTATTTGAGGCAATACTGCAAAGAAGCACTTTGGACCTGGTAGACTAAGGTTTGGCTCAGCTTCATATTTCTAGAGGCAGGTCAGCTCTAAAAGCAGTATAGTCATATTTATGCATTGATGTCCTTGGCCTGATAAGGCCCATGAACGCAAAGAGGGCCTGAACTGACAGCAGAAGATTCTACCAGTGGTAATCAAAGACTGAACAGATGTAACAGTAATGCCTTAGCCCTGTAATCCTGGCTATTTCACCAGTACAAAGATGATTGAGCTGGGTGACTTGTGTTACAGGTTCTTCATCTCCTAAGCTTCCCAGGATACTTCTTGGCAGTCAGTATATTCTCATTTGGAAAATACTGATGGGGTAAGGGAAACTGGATGGCAGCTATCGGATGTCCATCTACTACCTTCAGCTTAGTCTACATTTTGCTCAAATACTACTTAGAGCTTCAGAGTACCATTTAAAACAAACAAAAAAAATCAGTATTTTAGATTGCATCCCAGTAATGACAGGACAAGCTAAGACTCGTGTATAGTAGTAGGAATGCTTGTATTGTTGGCTAGAAGTAGCACCTCCACTAGAGTACTACAGAGGAATTACTCAGAGCTTCACAGTACCATTTAAAACAAAACAAAACAAAAAAATCAATATTTTAGATTGCATCCCAGTAATGACGGGACAAGCTAAGACTCGTGTATAGTAGTAGGAATGCTTGTATTGTTGGCTAGAAGTAGCACCTCCACTAGAGTACTACAGAGGAATTACTCCATGTGCCACCAAAGGACAATTAAATACAGGACAAGGAGCTGGGGTAACAAGATAGCATATCTGTAGTGGCTAGATACAAGCCACAAACAGCAGACAACTAAACATCCCAAAGTGATCATGTTTAGTGTATAAGGTATCTGATAAATACTTATCATGAATCTGTTTTTAATTTGACAAGCTGATGGATAGCAGTCAGCAGCCACATGTCAAAAGCATCACTTCCATCAAGAACAGAGCCTTGAAACATTTTCAAGCCAGGTCTGAAATTGCTTTAGCATTCAGTCCTCCAAAAAAGGATTTCTGAAGCTAAAATGATATTGTCCAAGAGCCATGCAGGTAAGATATTCGTATTATTTACATAGCTTCAGTTCTATATTCCTACATGTATCAGAGCCAACTCCTTTTTTGAAAGAAAAGTAGCACTTAAGAACAGAAGTGACACTCTTACCATACCTTATCAAAGGATATCACCACATCGCTTTGCTGGGCATGTACTTGAAAAATAATGACAGTCACATTGCTTGCAATGTTCCTGATTACAGCTTCCACTGGATTGGTCTGGTTAAGTAGCACATTTCTGAATTTTCCCAAGGAGAGCTCAAGAAGACCTGCATTACAAAAAAAACAAACACTTTTTTTTTTGTTGTTCGGAGGGAAGCAAGTACCAAGGGGAGCCTGGAAGCTTCCAGCAGCCCAGTATCAGTCAGCTGGGAACAGAGCAAGATGTTGTTTCATGCTACTCTCATCCTGTAAGCTGTATTAAAGTTTCAGAGACTACTACACACAGAGTTGTACCTACAAGAACAGATACAGCTAGAGAACCTGCCATACAGCCTGGTACTCACCTAAGCACATGGGGCAGAACTTCCTGCCAAGAGCTCAGTATTTGATACAGTCGAGCCTGTCAGCAACAGACACTAGCTGCAGTTGACCAGCTAGTGCTATCAACAGCAAGTAACATTCAGTAAAGCAAATAAGAGAGGATACCAAGGACTACTTGCTCTTTGGCAAATACAGGCAAGTATGCTTGTACTAGCCAGCCAACTTGCACAGTACCTGTTAAACTTCCTGGGTGAATTCCCATGGATCATGGGAGCTGGAGTCAACTACAACAGAGTCAAATCTGTAGTTTACATATTTATACCTACCCACCTGCAGCTATTTCACATATGTCTTTTGCTCCCACACTATTCTTAATTATAAGGACTATTGGACCTTGATTTCTGCATCTAAAAATCTGATTAATTTTTCCAAGACACAACCAAGACCATTTCTTCTTACAATGAGCATAACCCCATGATCCACTGTAATTTTAATGTAAGGAGAACCACATGATCTAGGATATAAGATTTCTTTGAGAAACAGCTTTGGCTTGTCATTCAAGTCCTGCAAGAAAGCCTGGTTTCTTCCTGTGCTGGGCTCTTGAGGGACAGGGGACATCAAGGGAGGAAAGAGAAGCAGCTGTACAGAAGCCACAGGATTCTCTTTTGTTGGTGGTTAGCAGGCAAACTAGATGCTTGCAGAGCATTCACAACACCTTTCAGGTTTTTCCCTGAATTCCCCTGCATGCACACACAGTAGCCCAGCAGACCTAAAACTTATCAAGCCTAAACACATACATACTACTTCCTCAATAAAGTTGCCTCTTCTAGCTTAAAGGGTTGATACTGTCAAGTACTCCAACAGAGCACAGAGTAATCAACAGCACCATCCCATATACACTGTTAGCGATCAATCAGGTGGTCTCGCATCCAAAAAAAGGAAGGGATACAGTCTTCTTGTCCAAAACTGTACCCGGTACTCTAACCCCTGTCCTGTTATTTTTCACTCTCCCCTGCCAAGAGCTGGCATCTTTGGCCAGCTTCTTTGCCTCTTGATGGTATGTAAATGGAGGTGAGCTCCTACCATCATGCCTCTTCCACTCACCTCACAGCAGAGGAAAAGCCTAACTCATCTCATCTTGCTAACTTCAACCCTTATACACTCACCCCCAAAATTCAATTAGTATCAGTACTGCATCATCAATAAGACCACAGCTGAAATACAGGTATCACAAACCAATCTGCAGTTTGTGCTAAGGTAGAAAGAGTTTCTACTCCAAGTCTTCAAACAGTAACTAACGTAAAATTAGAACTACAAAAAAGCTTTGTGTATTCTTCAGTTTCCGACAGTCCCTTGAGCATCATTCAGATACCCTCCCCTTCACAAGACCTCTGTCCTCCTTAGCTCTTAAGTTCTACCAGAAATGCAAGTAGCAGTATGAATGCTAGAGAAAAGCATTCAAAAACGCACAGACTGTGTATCTAGGTACTCAGAAATTTTGAATGAAAGCTTAGAATGCAGGAAAAAATATTTTTCTTTGATCTTTAAGAACTTAGGCACAGTATCATGAACTGCAAGATGTTCACACTCAGATGTTGTTTCAAGGAAAAAGCTGAAACCATATACATTCTCTCTATGCTGTACATCAAGGGGAAAAAGAAAACCTGCATTGCTCTGTCTTGCTTCTCACCTCCACTTTTTACTTATACCCAGAGGCCTCTGCATAAATAAGAACAGATTCCTCAGCAAGACATGCAGCCACTAATTCAACACAATCATGAGACTCTAAATGTCAGAGGCACTCTCTCAAGTTTAATTAGCATGGTATATTAAGGCATGGTGTTCTGTATTACTTTATTGTTTGCATAATTGCTCCTAAAACAGTGCATGTGACATACATGTTAAACCAAAGTCTGGATCAAAGAGCACAAATTCAGGGTGAAGAACAAGAATGGCTACATACATCGGATGAGTGTTTTTCAGCTTGCTGTTCACAGACTCCTTGAACCACACTTCTAGCCAGGCTTGAAAGATGACTAAAAGGAGAGTTCACAAGCACTGCAGACCAGCAGAACCTTCTAAGAGGTTTGCTGGAAGAGCAATTGCTACACGGCCACAGACTACTGCCCCTTTCCAGCCTTGTCCTCTCCTGTCATTTGAAAAAGTCACTGGTGGTGCTCTGAGGCAGAAAGGGAACATGGAGAGCAAGACAAATAAACCAACTCACAATTCATCAGGGCTATTGCTATCGCAAGTTCTCAGACAGGCATTAGACTACCTGAGCCATACAGAGTTCAGTGTTGTCAAAGATGCTTTGAAGGACAGATACCGAGACCTCCATGAACACTTAGTACTGCGCACAACACGCAAGCTGCTTCTTTGGGCAAGCTTGATCTCACTGAAGGTAGCACACCAGATAGAACTGCAGGTTCTGCAGCACATGCAGCAAAGCTAACACCACCACAGAAGCGAGGTAGTTGACCCAGCAAGTTGGCAACAGAGCCAGGAACAAAATCCAGGTATCTCAGCTCTTTTTACTGCTTCACTTGCTTCAAACAGTGAAGCTCTGGAAACACCCTGTAAGACATCAGGCTGTCTCCTCTTCCTCTCTTTGTAGGAAGAAGTACAATGGTCACTGCATGTCAGAGTAGTGTTGGGTTAGATACAAGAGAGGAACCCTCACTATTACAGAGATTATCAACTGAAAACATACTTAAAGGAAGTCAGCATTGCTGAAACTGAGCAAGAGCAGAGGAAAGATGGAGTATTGAGCATGTACTACTCTCTATACTAGTACCAATACTAGAACAGGAGCACAGATAGTCCAGCATATAAAAGAAGTGATGAACAGAGTTGGACAACAGTCCACTCTGTCACTCCACACTGTATGTTTTCCTCCCATGTGAAGGGCAAAACCAGTAAAGACAAAGGACTTGAACCTCTCAGGGCTCTTCTGAGATCAAAACTCCTTGTTCCTAACCCTAAGCAACAAGGTAATTGATTCTACAGAGGCTCAGTATTTATTATCCCTTCCCTGTGACATGCAGTTTCCCCGGCAAGCAACACCCAGCTTGAACCACTTCCATTCTGCTGATCCAGTGCCAAGCTCACAGTTTATTTGATGCTTTAAGTAAACCACATTTCCAGCTCCAATAGTCAAGTCTCATTCCCCACCACCAACAAACAGTTTACCATACAAGGTTCTTGATGGCACCTAGCAGCCCAATTTCCATTAAGAAACACAACTGAAGAAAGGCCATTGCTGCCCATATAGAAACAGCCTTTATCTACAGAACCATGCTCAAATATTATGCTTGCCTCAGACAAAGAGGTTCTTGACAGTCAGAGAAAACACATTTCTACTCTTTGCCAACCAACTTAGAGTGGATATGCAGAATAACCATACGTAAGCTGTAAGAGGCAAGAAGAACCTTCCAGCATATGGGCACGTCAACAACCAGTCACATGAAGACATTTGACGCAGATGAAATGCAAGCTCAGACTGAAAACTACTTTGAGTAGGGAAAAGATGAGTAACAGTTACTTAACAGAATAAAGCCAGCAGCCTTATCATATCAGACCTGTAAGGTCATGCATACATGGATGCATAGCAGAGTCCTGCTACAAGGTCTCTGTCTCCCCACACTAGTAAAACCCCAAATAAAGACACCACGCACCCTCAAAAGAAGCAAGAAGGTTTATGAAAGCTTCTAAACTCTAATTGCATGTGTACTGAGACTCATGCTTGGAGTCCAGTTTGATGCCACAGGATGTGGTTTGTCACTAACCGCACCACTTCATCCCAGAAGACTATGCTGTTCACCAAGTTAGAGGTCATGAGGTCTCCTACAGTCTGAAAAATGAGGGAAGACATACCTGTCTCATCTGCTTAGAGTTTTATAATTCACTTTGATTATCAGCCAGAACACACAAGACCTGGCCTCAGTCACATTGCTGGTACCATTGATTAAGATGTCACTTGTGCGTCCGGGCAATAATACTTCAAGATGCAAGTGGCCAGCTGTCCAATACATTCAGACAGCTGAATAGCTTTGTGTGAACTTCTTGTTTTAAAATGTTATCTCTGCATAGACTAAACAGCACAAACTAAGTTCATCCAGATAAGCTCTCTTTATGAAAATGGCACTGCTCAATCCCGATCACACTATAAATTCGCTTTAGTTTTTCCAACAGCAAACAACCTGGTTTGGATGCAGCAAACAAGGCCAGCTGCACTCCTACATCATGAAGGTGGAGCTCCCTGGAAGGTAACAAACACAATACATAAAACACTTCTGCACAAATACTAAGTTTTAAGAACTGTAGCCATCAGAACCCAAGAGAGCTAATACAAGCCATCATGCACAGATTTTACTTATCAGCACTTTTAAAAAGAAGTAGGATCTTCTAGTATTAGGAGATAGCAGAGCTCATCTCTGCAAACCTCCATGTCCATGGCTGAATAATCACAAGACAATTTCAAATAAGTGAACCATTAAGCAAGTGTCCTTGTTTAAAGGGCCTAATGATCAGCTAGACATTGGTACACAAGTTACACAGCTTATTAGCTTTTCATGAGGAAAATACTTCCCCCTCCACCCTCAATTCTGCAAGGAAATATAACAACAGGCTTCTCCAAGGCAAAGCAGTTAGCTTAGTCCTGTATTCATTCTGCCTTTTTACATACTGTTAAAAAAAAAAAGACTCAACAGTCATTGTCTGAGAAGCAAACTGCTTGTCAGCATCTTTTAATGTAAACATTAAGATCTAAGAACACTGAGCCTTCATTCTCAGACCTGCTTGCCACCATCAGGTGCCAAGCCTAAGCTTCTACGATCTGCAAGACACAGGGAACACTTGGCCTCCCACTAAGATCTTGGGCGTGAGACTGGGCAGGGAGGAAAAGCCTTCCACACTTGAGACTGATTCCAAATGCTGTCCTGCAGCCTTGCAAAGTATCCCAAGAGTAGATTTCTCCTTTTGGACAAATAAGCTTCTAGAGGCAAGTTTTAAAATAAAGAAAAACTAAGAAGACAGGCTTACATCAGCCCTAACGTAAGGGACTGCTCGTTTATCTCTGGATTATCTCTGAAAGGAAACTGATTATTTCTTCCTTTATTTGAACAGATAAGAGTTTAACCAGAAAAAAAAAGTAAGCAACCATTAAATCTTCACAAGCTATACTCATTATAGTGCACTTAGCTCTGGACACCTATTTTAGTCACATGCAGATACACAGGGGAAATACAAAAAAAAAAAAAAGTCCATGCCAAATAAAGTCAGATTACATCAGCATGGCCAACAAGTAATTTTAAGAACCAAGCTGCAAATTCTAAGGGGTTTCACTCATTTCCTTAGTTTTATAGGGACACGAGTTTTCAACCCACAATTGACACGGTACTGGGAACCCACGACTATCTGTATGTGGTCAAAAAAAAAAAAAAAAAACCCAATGGGAACCCACGACTATCTGTATGTGGTCAAAAAAAAAAAAAAAAAAATCCCACTATCAGCCTTGTTTCCTTTCTGACATAAACTCATGGGTAGTGAATGCCACCTTGTTTCCTTGGAAGGAATACAACCCTACCCCAGACTCATCAGCCTGTACCATATACCTGTAACAGCACAGTTAAAATAAGTTCAGCATATCCACGTTAAGAGTTAAACTGATGGCGTTCGTAGCTATTAAGCTGTAAAAAAAAGGGGGTAGGGGAGAGGTGGGAGGGGGGAAATGTGTTTTCCTTGCCCACATCAAAGATTAAGATAACCATGAACATACAAAACTCCAGCTCCGCAGACAGCTGCATCTTCAGGTTGATCTTCAGTCTCCTCTCGAGACAGCAGCAGGTCTCCCCGCCACCGCCTCCTGGGACACCCCCCAA